AGAGTGACTGTTAGGAATGAATAAGAAGGACATTGATGTCACTCAACATGCAAATGCAAAGGTCTGAATAAATATATCTGTTAAAAGTTTCAAGTGAAGATTTAATCTCCTCAGGTTTAAATGTTCAGTTTTTTTTTCTTATTGCCGGACTGTGATGCAGCTTGAGGTGTGTTTCTTGGCTCAAAAACTCTCCACCTACATGCGTGCAGCTCTCTTTTTTCATTTCCTTACATTTCATCAAACTTTTATTTACATCTTAGACAGTGGAGTCTGATACTAAATGTGAAATGTTTCATATTTGCAAGTAAAGCTGGAAATAATCAAAATGTTATGAGATTCATAAATGTTAACTTTGTCCTTTTCTCTTTCTCGGTCATCAGTAAAATTAATCAGATTCGTGACAGCGACCGTGATAACGTCTTCGTACAAAGGGTCAGACGTCCAAGAGTTGTATCCTCCAACTAAAGCAGCGTTCAGTTGACACTCATCTGGTCTGGATCAACTCATAGGAGGGTTGTTTACCTAAATTCACTTGTTGCAAGGCTGTGCCTAAAGTTTTCAGCAGGACAATGTCCACTAAATAGCACTGTGATGATGGAAAAATGGTACGAAGTGATAGCATCAGATACAAGACTGTTACTCTGAGCAAAGAGGGGCTCCCTTCACGTCAAACCATGGCTGGACTTTGTTATTTTTTTCACCAGCTGGCATTTTGAGCAAAGTCACTGTCATAGTAAATAACAGTTTATCATCTTTTTTTTTTTAGTACAGTAAAACCAAGAAAAACCTCAGGATTAAACTGCTAACACTGAATAGATTATGGTTGGCATTCTTTGAAAAGTCTATAAAACCTATCAATAAAAAAGGAGAAACTACAAATTAAATCAAAATACATATTCTCTTGAATAAATATAAAATAATAAAATTAAAAATCCATTAGGTGCAACACAAATATTCTCTCAGATTAAAAGAACACAGTGTCCACTCAGAAAACACATTTCTGGAATAGCACCATTACTGAAAGTTAACTCCCAGTAGCTCTAGATGTTCAGCTTGTGTTTGTTCATTAAAGGCTGAAATGCAGACCAGAGGGAACATCAACTACTTTCAGCGCGTGTTAAAACCAATGTTCCCAACACACATTATGGCTGCACGTCGGCTGCTATAAAAACCTCTACAGCGTTAGTTATCACTTTGGCCCAGTCTGAATTGTTGGCAAGAGGCCTTTGATTCTTACTACCACTGATGTTAACATGAGGGTGACGCCATCTAACCAGCTACGTACCGGATCACAGTGCAGTAATGTTGGCCGGTAGCCTTTGTCTGAACTACCTGCCTTTGTCCATCATCACTGCAGTTAACTCAGTAACTGTAGTGTTCCCAAGCAGCACAGTTGAAAATAGCAAAGGGTCTTCAAGCTTTATTTGGTCTGCTTCTCCCAAAACTACAAGATGGGAACAGATGTAATTATGTTCTGGGCATTTAGATCTTACATGAAATACGATTTGTCCAAATTCACAGGTCATGTGTGATTAAAAACACTCACTGTGACTGGTTCAGTAATGGAAAGCAAGTGAAGAGGACGATGAACAGCAGGGGCGAATGTCGACCGATTTAATGTGCTCTCAATATGTTTTGTCACCGTCTTTACTCTGTCAGCCTCACTGGAGCCACACATCAGTATTTACCACATTTCCTGAACCAGCGGTAAATAAAGGAATAGACAGGGGTTACATATACAAATACAAACATAGAAAGAAGCACATTATTAGCTCCAAGTATAATACAAGAATATGGGCAGAGAAATATGAGAACGACAACTACAACATGGAGACTGCAATGTGTCAACACACCGCATGAGGATGAGAAACAGCCACTATACATATCTATGGTCCGACCAGTGGGGCTGGTCCATAGTGCTCCGACAAGAGTGGAAGTGGGCAGGATGCACAGGCAGCACTTGGCTGCTATACTAATGACAGTTTAGGATCGCGGTCACGGTTCTGTTTCTACCATCGGTGGCGGCGAATATTCAGATATCAGAATTGCTATCAGGATACCACGACCAACGAGTCAGGAGAGGAGACACACTTTGACCGGCCCGTATCAAGCAGAGCTTCAATGCGACAGCCACCAAGTCAAGTAACACGACATCTGGAAGACAGACACCCCAACCTCTACGACGACATGAAACAGGTTTGTAAATTATATAAGAAGTGTACTACTAAACATATGTCCGGTTGCTCCAGCAAATTAGTGCTTATTTAGTTAAAAAAAAAAAATCTCTGCTAGCATTAAGCTAAATCTAACGCTAGCCAAAGCTAACGGCTTGCTGCTGAAGCCATGTAAATATGCTGACATCCATAGCGGCACTTTTAGCGTATTTTCCTCCCATCGTACACATAAAACGTGTTATTTTTACCACTATGAGGCTTTTAGCAAGCACACTGAGAAACGTAAAATTGCACTACAAGGACTGATAAATGATTTCATCCCAAATGTAAAAGTTGACTCAGATTTTTTTAGTAGAAGTACTTGTGCCGTCACACCACTAGTGGCTCGGCGCCATGGGTGTGGGCTAAAGCACCAGGCCCAGCCCCATCATCACTTTGAGGGTGGGAGGAGAATTGTGGAGGAACAAGAGGAATAAATGTGTTTTATGACCAAGGGCTTCAGACAGAAAGCTGGCAGAAGTCAGCAGCTTATCGTCTCCTCCTCTTTCTAAAAATGAAAACCCTTGAAGAGGCTGAACTCTGCTTTCCACAGCTCCGCAACTCCTCCTGCAGGAAGACCATGCGTCCTTACTCAGTATCCATGATCCTTTACATTATTCTGTCCTGCATCTCTCTGCTCACTGTGATCCTCAACCTGCTGGTCATCATCTCCATCTCACACTTCAAGTAATTAAGTGCTGTATGTTATCAGTTTGTTCAGAGGGGAGGGGAAGTGTCATGTTTCTGAGCAATGTCTTTGTGTTTCAGGGTTGTTTATCTGCAGGAATGATGAATAACGTTGCTCTCTTGCATCTCCAGGCAGCTCCACACGCCCACCAACCTCCTCCTCCTGTCTCTGGCTGTGTCCGATTGCTTTGTGGGCCTCCTCGTAGTCTTTCAGATTCTGCTCTTAGACGGCTGCTGGTATTTTGGTGAACTCACGTGTGTCCTATATTACATTTTTGATTATGTGATTACATCTGCCTCGATAGGAACCATGGTGCTCATTTCAATCGACCGCTTTGTGGCCATTTGTTATCCTCTGCATTATCTCAGCAAAGCCACGCAGCAAAGAACAAAGATCTGTGTTTCACTGTGTTGGATGTGTGCTGCTCTCTGTCACTGTCTGATACTGAAAGATAACCTGAAACAGCCGGGCAGGTATAGTTCCTGTGCTGGAGAGTGTGTGGTGGTTCTACATCATGTTGCTGGATCTGTAGACCTTTTTCTGTCCTTCGTTGGCCCCGTCACTGTCATTGTAGTCCTGTACGTGAGAGTATTTGTGGTTGCCGTGTCTCAGGCTCGTGCGATGCGCTCTGACGTTACAGCTTTCACTCTGCAGGGCTCAGTGAATGCCACTGTTAAGAAATCCGAGCTGAAAGCAGCCACGACTCTCGGCGTTGTTATAGTCGTGTTTCTAATATGTCTGTGCCCATATTTTTGTGCTACACTAACGGGACAGGATGTGTTGCTCAATAGCTCATCAATGGCCTTTGTGATTTGTCTGTTCTACTTCAACTCCCTTCTCAACCCCCTGATCTACGGCCTTTTCTACCCCTGGTTCAGGAAATCTATCAAACTAATCATCACATTTCAGATACTGAGGTCTGGCTCCTGTGATGCTCAAATAATGTAGAGAGGCGTCACAAGATCTTTACCATGAACAGATAAATACGATTGACCATGCTGAGTAACTGAGCAACCAACAAAAAATCTTGAAAAACGCTTTTGAGTCAGTGGAATATATACAGGATCTACAACATATTATACAACAGTCTCGCTGAAATGCAAACTTTTCTTTGTTGAAAATGATCTTATCTCGTTACTGTGACAGGGATTTACAAAACAGAAATCAGCTGTAAAGTGTTAGGGTTATTAGTCACTGTCCCTGTAGCCTTCTGTTTAGAAATTGAAATATACTTTAACATTATGTGCAGATAAACCTACAAGCACCACAAACGATTCAGTCACACATGTTGCTTCACCTCAACTGAACCTTCCACGCATGTTTCAAAAACAGAGATGAGTGTTTTGTTGTCTTTGGAAGTGTTAATTATGCTTGTTGTAGTGGATGAAAATGTGTAATTGACAGAAACAAGTGTGGAACAGAGAGACGTGACTACATAAGAGCTCATCACGACTAATATCTGTGGAACTTTGTATATTTTATCAACATTCAACAATGGTTAAAAAAAAAACAGAAATTATGGTCAACAAGCAGTACGGTATGGATTTTACTGAGATTAAAATACAAAGTCTTCATTGTCATTATAAACGGATGATAAGTACCTATACACATTAACTTTCTGTCAGAAATGGATAAAAGCAGAAACAAAAATAAATAGAAGCACGACTTCTGCTTTATTCTCGTTGAGTTTAATTTCCCAGGCTTTAAAAATTCAAGTGTCTAAATATGTTTTCAGTCAAAAATCATCAAAGTGAACTAAGTTAAATTACACCATATATCTTTGCCCTCAAGGACAATAACTTCTGATAACTTGTTTAACTGTAACTCAATTATATAATTTATCCCACACCCACCCAACCGATCGAGGCAGATGGCCGTCCCTCCCTGAGCCTGGTTCGGCCTGAGTTGTTTTTTCCCCTGCAGGGGTTTTCGGTTCCTTCCCACTGTTGCGGACTGCTTGTGGACTGCTGCAGCTTATAAGGAATCCAAATGTTTAGGATTGTTGGGTGTTTCTGACTTTGTTAAGCGCTATGAGATGACGTTGTTGTAAATATGCGCCACACAAATAAAGTTGAATTGAAAAAAATATTAATTTATGTTTTACCCAAAACAATCATGGAATCAATACCAGACATATCCCTGTGTATATTATCCACATAAATACAATCTGAGACAAGAATGCATGTTATTAAAGATAAGCTGAGGTCCTGTGAAGCCCCTGTAAATACAATAAGGCCTTCTGATGCTGCTGTGAATAAAAAGGATGCAAAAGTTGTTCTGTTTTATTTCTGTTGCATCAAATCTGGTAGTGTCACTGTACAACATAATCTGGTTTTGTCAGGGTCCCCTCCCTAGTCCCTTCCTCTGGCCACCTGACCTCCCTGCTTCTTCCCTCTATCTCTCTCTCCTCTGCTCTCTCTCTCCTTCTCCGGTTCCGCTCTCTGCAGCGGCTGTCATTGATTATCATCTTATCAGCAGTAACTCTGGTCAGCTGCCGAGCAGCACTCGTGTCATCAGCGTTCCTGCCATAAAAGCCGGTTTCACCCTTCACTCCCTGCCAGAGTGTGGCGTCAGCTTCAGCTCCAAGGAGTTGAGTTTTCAGGCCCTTGTACCTTGTTTCTCTCGTGCCCTGCTTGTGACTAACCTGTGTTTCCTGTACCTGCAGCTCCACTGGCCGCACTGCCCCGGTTCTGCCTCCGCCCAGCAAACCTCTGCCCTGGCTCGGTCTCAGTCCGGCCACCTCCTGCCCGGGATCAGCTTCGGTTCCATCCACCCTGGTCCTGCCTCGGCTCCAGCCCCGCCTCGTTTTCCCCCACCTGGCAAACACTCCACTGCCGCTCTCCACCACCACCCTCTCCATCGGTGTGCGACCCTCCATCTCCATCGGTGTGCGACCCTGCCTGCCGGCCCTCGGGAGCCTGTCTGCCCCCCGTCCTGCACGTACTAAGTTTTGGTTTGGCTTTGTCCCAGTCCTTCATTGTTAAATTAAACAGTTAATTACACCCTGACATGCCTCTGCCTTGTCTGTACGCTCTCCGCTTGGGTTCACCCCTGCACCCCTTGACAGATTTAGGTTCAATAATGTTACTTTCTCTCAGTTTCAACATGCTGATTATACAGTTTTAGGTAAAAATGTCCATTGCTGCAGCAGACTTTTAGATCTCACTCGGACTCAGTGATGAAGACAGACACTTCTTGTACTTTAAAGTTTTCCCAAATGTCTCTTATCAACAGAGAGTAAAGGTGTTCAGTTTGGTCACACAGTTGTGGAGCCATGACTGACATGTCTCTTAAAGAGAAAAACGGCAACATAAATAAATATATTTCCTGGCTATAGAAGAGTCAGGGTCTCAGCAAAACGTCAAAGCCCATATATTCACACATAACCATATATTCAAATGAGCTGCTAAGCATTCGGTCCGATGGGGCAGCAGTGAGCGGGTGTTTCTGTCATCAGCGGTCACCATACTGTATCTGTCATCAGTGGCAATGGCGGCGGCGGCAGGGGTGGGTGGGGAGAATATTCGGAGATCAAAATTAATATCCTGATTCCAGCACAGCGAACGAACAGTCGGCTATTTGGGTCCAGCCCTATCCTGAAGCAGCAGGAAGGTACCAGCTGACCAAAAGGGGAACGAATAGTCGACTATTTGGGTCCAGCCCTATCCTGAAGCAGCAGGAAGGTACCAGCTGACCAAAAGGGGAACGAATAGTCGACTATTTGGGTCCAGCCCTATCCTGAAGCAGCAGG